GTACAATGAATTAAAATGAAAAAAATATATATTAAGAAAACTCATTAACACAAATAAGTAAAAGGGAAAAAAAAAAAAAATTAACTTTGAATTCTACTTCTTTTTAATTAGTTATTTAGTGGAAAGATATTTGTGTTTGACCCAAATAAGTCAAATTTTGTTTGAAAAACTTTTTTTCAAAATTTACGAAATCATTTCCCCCCCCCCCTCGCCCAGAAAAAATAAAATTTTAATTTTACATTACGATCCGTCATCGTCTTTTCCATCACAAATTTTTAAAACAACAACAACAAAAAAAAGTCACTAATTTGAAATAAATTTTTTTTTTCTTTCAGATTGTTTCAGGAAAAATAATTTCATTTATCGTTTTGATTTTCGCCATCTACGTACAAAGTACAGAAGTAAAAGATGACAACAACAACCATAATCGAAATGAATCCTTACTAGAAACAAGAAATAATTCCATCAATTTACAACAAACGCTTAACAAGACTCATAAACAAGGGAAAAAATTTTCTAGCAAAATTGTTAGAAGAAAAAATAGTTTGGGAGAAAATTTTTTCGGTACGGAAACTTTTATTTTCGGCAAATCTAGTATAAATGATGCCATACATAATTCAAAAATCAATACTTCCAATACAAAAGCAACAGTTTTAGATTTTCGAATAAAAAATCACGGGGGCAAACAATCAGTTAAAAAAAATTCACAAAAAGATGATAAGAAAAAATTATCAAATGAAGAAGATACGATGATAAGAGCTTCCGCGGGAGCTGGAAAAGAAAGGAAAGAATCGGATAATGATGAAGAAAAAACGTTGGCTCAACAAGTGGCGGATGGAAAATATGGATTAATACAAAATGAATTATTCGCAAACGGTTCGAAACGACCTGGAATCCTGAGTTATAGGTCAAATAATGAAGTACCGAAAGATACGAAAGATAATTTAGGAGGATTGGAAAAAGATGAAATATGGTTGGCGGAAGATCATGTCTTGGTGCTTCGAGGAGGTAACTTGCGAAGTGAAAAGGAAAACGAAACTACCTCTTCTTCCGTATGGCCACCCATAGATAATTTTAAAGCTCCTAACAGGCAAGTCAAAATTCCAAAAAACCCCGATATCCCTCCTCCTTTTCCCGTTCAACTTAGCGAAGATGGTCCCATTCAATTTATTAAAGGAAAAAATAATCCTTCATTTCTTCCGCCCATAGCACCCCCTCAACATCCATTTGAAACGGAAGTAAACAAAACCATTCCTCTTCCTTTTACCGTATCACCGATACCTCCGTCATTGAACGTAGCAAACAAATCTTTGCCTTTTCCCGTACCCCCACATTTCATCCCTCCGTTTTTGAATAATTTTCCACCCGGAGCTACCTTTGTATTACCTCCCGATAATACTACAGACATTGATGAAGACGATCCTTCAATTTATTATCCACCGAAATACGATTTTCTTTATCCGGTCGATAATACTACAGCTGTTCCTCCGGGACCCTTAGTACCAGGTATTATTTTACCACCTCCTCCTAATTTTTTCTCACTTTTAGAAAATAATAACGATTCTTTGATAGAAAATCATGAAAATACTAACAACAGTATTAATTCCGTAACACCAAATTCAAATAATATTCCTCCAAAATATCTTCCGCCTGTAAGGAAACCAGGTAGGGGAAGAATACCGAGCAACACGTATGTAAAGAAACCAATCGCTTTTTCAAACAATAATACAACTAATACAACCTCTTCTAAACAGAAATCAGCGAAACCTCAAAAACCTGCCATTACATATGTGTACCCTGACAAATTTAAACAGAAATTATTTTCCTCAACAACACCCTCGTATAAAACATTCAACAAAAATAACAAAATTCCTATTAATAAAATTACGGATGGGTTCATTTCGCCAATATATGTGCCAAGTAATCAAAATGAGTCTCACTTTCACTATCCTTTGCCTACCACAAGTCCTAAACCCAATCACATAACATTGCCTCCTACAACTAAATCTCTACCAAAACAAATACTTATTATAACAACGCCAGAAAGTGTAAATAAAAACGAATTAAATTCATTTAAAAAGGCAAAACCGATAAACACCAATGAATTCGAGAATAAAAAGCCAGAAATTCATCCGCTGAAAAGTCTAGTAAAACCTAACGTCACTGTAAGTTACAATGGAAAATATGGACATTTACCCCTTCCGCATAATCGTCAAGCGAACAAACCAGAGTTGGATTCTAAATTAATACAAGGTCAATTTGTTCCTAAGCCAACTTTAACCAAAGATGGTAAAGAACCATCAACGGAAATAAATTCAATCACCGTGACACCAATTCCCGTAGTCAAAAAAATTAGAATAGAATCTACGGCTCCGGAAAAATCTGAAATCGAAGTGAAACCAATAAATTCATCAGGAGCAACTCTTTACTTTTACGAAGAAACGTCTAATACAAAAGAAGAAGTTAAACAAGATAAATTTAAGGATTCCGTAGTAAATGCTCCTCCGATTACATTAAGTGGTAAACCAGAACTACAACCAGTGACTCCTTATTATTATACAACACATTCAACGAGTAAAACTCCAATAAGGCAATATTTAGAAGAAACTTTCCATTCATCAAATATACTTTTGAGAAAACCTCAGATAGCGCAGGTCCAACATGCCGAAATCATTACGCACAATGGTTATTCAGATATTCCTAAAATGAAACATCTCAATTATGGATCTCCCGTTTCATCTCCAAGACCTGTGGTAAAATACCATTACGTCGCTGATGGTAATCCTGTAACAGTTCCAACCCCTAAAATCAAAGACTTGGAAATAAAAAATTCAGGATCAACTGGATTGCAAACCATTCGATTAGATCCTGTTTCTGTAAGACCGGCTCCTAAACCGTTGATTACTGAAAGCAAGATTCCAGAACAGGCAAACAATCAAGCAAGCTTGACAAAAGTAATTACTTCTAGCAATTTAGGATTTAATCCACCTGATGGGCCATTCATTCCCTCAAATTACTATGCGACCGTACGTCCGGAACATTTTCATTTTACTTCTCAAGAACAAACTCTAGTGGATGACATAACTAAAAACTACTTTACAATTTTCGGTCAGAAAATTAACAACTCACCATCAACTACACCTTTGACTCCAGTGGTAAAATCAAATTTAATTAAAACCAAGCCTAATCAAGAATCTGGTCTCACTTATATTTCTGATGATGGCCTTAATTTTAAAATACAACAATTGCATCAAACATCTGGAAAAACACAAAGTCAATCCACCTCATCGATAACTGTGGGAGAAAATTTAAAACCAACACCAACACGTCCACCATCAAATTTTGAAAAATATTTGAAAGAATTAACAGGAGAGGATCAACGGGAATACATTGTGAGCGGTCTATTTCCAATCAAAATAAAAAAAGGCAAAGGATTTTTGAATAACGAAATATCACAGCAACTTATTTCTCACCCCTCAATAGCGAACACAAACCCCAATAATGTTCCATACAAACCAAATCTACCAACAACATTAAGACCGGTAACAAACGTTGAAATTCAACCGCAATATATTCAACCCATATCATCAACTCCAACACCCATTAATTTATATCATCAACATAATGTGCAACCTTTAAATATTCATTTCAATCCCAGCTTGCAACAATATTTTCACGAATTCTCTAGTTTATCAAGCCCAACAACGAAAAGACCTACAAAAGTAAAAAATCCCAATTTAGATTATGTACCAAAACCTCCGCCATTAAATCAATATCAAAATTTAAAAATAAGTGAAAATCCTATTCCCCTAACAAAGGATGTTTTGGTAAATTTCAAACCTCCTCGGCCTTCAGTCGAGCAAAATGCGGAAACCATTAATTCTTCCCCTCCTTTTAATAACATTCAAATCGTAAGCTCACCCGATTTAAGTAGAAACCCTAACCAACAATTTTTGAACAACAAACAATTAAATTTTGACGTTGGTAAAGTCCTATTTCAAAACATTGGAAAACCGGGATTTTTCCCACAACCTATCAAACAAAACGGTCCAAATTCATTCGTTTCGTATAGTCTTCCCGGAAATGTGGGGCATTTTTATTTTCTAACTCCTCAAATAATAGAAAAAGAATATGGGCAAGAAAATAGAGATGAAAAAAATTTCAAAAGAGTGAATAGAAGTCATGAAAAAGAAAACGAAAAATTTCCCGATAAAATTACAACGGGTTATTCTGGTCAAATACAACAAGAGGAAAACTCTGACAACAATAATCGAAATTACCCAAGAAGAAGAAGAAAAAAAACATAAAAAAAAAAAACATATTTCGTCAGGTTTCGTCTGTCTTAAAACATATATCATACGATATTATTTAATGTTATGAGTGAGAATGTTTTAGGTATATAAATAAACAATTGTTAGCAATTAAAAATTTAAAATCATGTAAAAGGCTGTGAGTATCACTTACATTACGATTTAATTAAAAAGTAATGAAAGAAATTTTTCAAAAAAAAAAAAAAAAAGGGGGCAAATAATAATAATAATAATAATAATAACGTTTGCCTAATATGTATTATTGTCTTTTAAGTGATTATTTATATTATCGAAATTATAATAAATAAATAAAAAGTAGGGTAAAAGCTTGTAGTTTATAAGTGAATTCGCATTTAAATTATAAACGAGAAAAATATATGTAATCATTATAAGTCGGAGAGAAAATGTTTTAGTTCTTTGAAACGTTTAAAAAAAAAACGAAAAACGTTAAAAGACTAAAGCCGATGTGTAAATACATATAAAATATTTAATAAATGTTTTTTTTTTTTTTTTTTTGTAATGAATTATTTCTACTTATTTTATATTCCAATAATCAATCAATCATCAATTTCAATAATTTTACCCAACCAAAATTTTTCCTTTCCACGACACGAAAATCATTGCAATAATAAAAGAGAAATAAAAGAAAGAAAAAAAAAAGAAAGAAAAAAAAATTTAAAAAAAACTTACCGGTATTTATTTCCTCCTCCAAAGTTTCATCTTTTAATGGTTTGTCGTAAAGTTTTAGATACACTTCAATTGCACATTTGGCAGCTTTAAAGTAAAAAGGATGACTTCTTAATATATCTTCTAATTTTAATAAACCAACATACGACCTTAGAGTCATTTTCCTCATACAGTAAGTGTGAAAATCAAATTGATCTTCTATTATTTCTGAGAAATGCTAAAAAAAAAAATTATTAAAATTATAAATATTTAAAAATTTTGACTGAAATTAAAACAAGCAATACAATAAAGGACTTTAAAATGATGATGATATATTATTCTAACAATTTTCTAGATTGTGACAAAAAAAAAAAAAAAAAAAAAAATTTCAACGGTAATTATTATTTGATACTTACCCTATCTACTTCATGGCACTTCTTGAGAGCTTCACCATTTTTACCAAGTCTTTGGTAGGCCAAGGCACATTCAGTTTGAAACCACATGCATTGCATTTCGTTTAAATTTTCCATAGCTGAAACTCCTTCCTAAAATAGATAAGTAATACCCGATGTTAGACGCAACATATAATTTTTTTTACCATAAGAATTCCGAGTAAAAATAAAATATTTTAACATACTCTAGTGAATTTTGAACAAGTTTCTTCTGCCTCTTTCACCAAATTAGCACGCAGCATATATTTTGCACATTTGGAATTAATGTACCTATCTGCAGTGTCCAAACTTTGGGCTTCATCTAACCATTTGTATGCTTCAATTACGTTACCCGCATGCTAAAAATAACATGCACAATTTAATATAGAATAAAAAATTTACATTTCATTATGGAATATTAATTTGATTTTTTTTTAAATTTTCAATAAGGATTGAATTGTACTAATGATAAAATTTATAAAAACTTGTACTTTACCTTATATATTTTTCCTTTAGTAACAAAAAGTTCGATTAACGTTGGAGTGTGATATATAGCTAAATTAATGTACTCCAAAGCTTTTTGAGAACATCCTAAATAATCAAAATGCTGAGCCAAAAAATAATAAGTCCATAGTAAAGCTGAGGCTGGTTCTTCATCCCCAGTATCTACAATACAGATTACAAAAATTTAATTACATAAAGTACAGAATTTTTTTAGTAAAAGTATTATTAATGTCATTGTTATAGTTTACTTTAAATGAATAATAATAATAATAAATAATAATTATTACCAGATAAACTAAATCGACGATTTGCCATAAGAGATTCTACATAAGATAATAATAAATTTTCAATAATAACAACCTTTTCGTTGCTTTTGTACAAAGATCTAAGGTCTACAAAAAGAGGAGGAACACCTTTGTGCAGTCCTTGTCTTAAATATTTATCAATCATTATTCTAAACTCTTCTCCTGCGTAAAAGAAAATAATTAAATAATACACTTCAAATTATCAAGAAAAATTTTAATGATAAATAATAAATAAAATACCTGATACAAAATTAAGAGGCAATCTTCTAGGGGCCAATGCTTTAGGAAATTTTTCCTGATACGTTTTGAATAATTCTACCTTTTCGGATACAGTTTTCAACTCACGAGCTTCCAATAATTGACCGTAGTAAAAAACATTTTCTTGATTTCTATCTAATAATTCTTCATATATTTTTACAGCTTCCTTATTTTGTTTAAGGAGAAGATATAATTTACCTAGAAAAGAAATAAATTTATTTTTAAAAATTTAAAAAGAATTAAAATTAAATACAAAATAAAAAAAAAAAGATAATAATAAAGAAAAAAATTAATTAAATAAATCATACCTAAATTTTCTTTTACAGATAGTTTATCACAAATTTGTGAATTGTATTTGTCCAAATGTTCCATTGCATCTTCAAATGCATTACTATTTACAGTGATTGATTCTTGAATAACCATATTTTGGTAAAGCAGCAACTCACTGTGCTCATAATCATAAGATGACTTCTGAAAATATTTAAAAAAAAAAAAAAAAAGTTAAGTTTTTTTATTAATGTTAATTAAAATTTATTTATTTCTTTTAAGCTTACCACTTGAGTTTTTCTGAAAGCTTCTAATATTTTTAAAGCCATGTCATACTCTCCTATAAGGTGATAAGCCATTGCAAAACCAATCCAAGAGGCACGTTGTGTTGGTCTCAACATGAACAATTGATATCGTGTATCCTGCAAAAGTAATTAATTAAAACAAATTAATTGATGTGACATATTTAGAACAAACCATTCGAAACTAATACTAAAAACAAATACTAACTTTCGAGTCTTTATTACAATAAAATTTTAAAATAACATTTTATGAAAAGACGAAAAGAAAAATTTTGCAAAAAATTATTATGTTATTGTTCGAAAAGTAACAATTACAAAAAAAACTTACTTTGTATCCTTCTAAATCTCTCATTTGTATTTGTAACAGACTTAAATCCCTTAAAATTTGAATGTTATCTTTTTCCCATTTAAGAGCATTTCTATAACATTTTATGGCTTCATCATATTTTTTGTCAGACCTCTGCAATAAACCATAAACATGCCAACATACATGAGACTGGAGGTCATTTCTTAAACCCCTTCTCACATATTCATATGCTTCTTCTTTTCTGTTTAAACAGTTTAACGTTAAACCTTTCATGGCCAGTGTTTCTCCATGTTCGGCACATTTAGGATTTGACAAAATTTGTTTTGCAAACTTCAACCCATTCCTAAACTGTTTTTGCTCATAACATTTCTGTAAATAAAAAAAAATAAATAAAATAATTATTATTTCAAAATTAAATCTTTAACCTTGTTAAAATAATACAATGAAAACAATAATTATTATTTAAAAATTAACAAAAAATCTTTTTATATTTTATTTTTTTTTTAAATTTAAAATTGTAAAACTAAATAGTTTTTAAATGTATGCGTTAAATATAATGTAATTTTAAATTAAATTTATATAATTATTAAACTTTATAATAATTAAAGCATTAAGCTTAATAATAATATCTAAGAAAAGTTATAGTACACAATATTTAAAAAACAAAGTTCCAAACAGAAATATAATTTTTTTTGATAATTTGATGGTAAAATATAAAAAAAAAACCAAAATTTTATAACTATACGCGATTGTAAAACTTTATTGTAAAATAAAAGTACTGAAACGCTACTTTAAGTCTTATGAAGATGACTAGATTACACCTAAGTTTAATTAAAAATATAAATTTCAATTTTATAATTAGAAAAAACAACTTTATTCGTTAAATAAAATCACACATTCACTTTAAAAATTAAATAGATTAAAATTAAATGAAAAAATTTAGAAAATTATTAAAATTATACATCAGGCGGTTTGAAAAATAAAAGATAGTAATTTGTATACAAAAGCGTATTTTCAGTAAAATCATGAAATAAATATAATAAATATCCTTCAAGTTTGCTTACCAAAACTCTTTTAAAAAGAGAATTTTCTTTGGGTGGTAAAGGATCACGAGAAGGCATTTTTCATTCAAATTTTTAGCACTATTGTAAACTGTTTAAGGGAATTTATTGGTTGTAATATTAGGCAAAATGAAAAAATCCCTCGTGGTGCCTAACTAAGATGGCTGCGCTCACGTGACCATTTTGTGAACGCGCATTTTTTGTAACTAATGCAAACTTAATAGAAAAGAATAAGATTTACCGCTTTTTTTTTGGCAAAAATAATTTAAAATTTAAAAAAAAAATTTAAAAAAAAAAAAAAAAAACTCAATATTGTTGCATAACATTTTTAAATTATGATTTTTAAATATAATTTATAATTATTATTATAATTTTTATTATTCCTACTTATAAATTTTCCTAAAACCTGAATAAAGAATATTTTAATTGCCAGATAGAGTATTCTAAAAGAAATATGTTTACTATTTTCATGAAAAATCATACTTTGGCAATTTTTTATTGTTTTTAATAGTAAATAATGTTAGGTATACTTAAAAGTTAAAGAAAACATATATGAATTTTAATATTTATTTTAAATAATAGTTTAATTTAAAAAAAATTTCTTTTTCCAATATTATTTTCAATAAATTCCAGTCGACAACAGAGATTTTTATTTTTTCTGTCTGTTTTTATTCTTTACATGAACTCTTTAAGGTTAAAAAAACATTTTTGTATCATTATATGTATTTTATTAAGATAAATAAAAAAATAACAAAATTAAATTAAGCTTCACAAGAATTAAATACGAATTAAATATAAAAAGATAAATTTTATCGAACTGATGTAAACATTTGACAAAATTGTGTTGTAAAATCTCCTATGTCATTAAGAGACATTCCTCTTTTTTCTAATGGAGAGTGAATTTTAATCTGTCTCATATGAGTATCTCTTCCGTTTTGATGATTACTAATTACTGCTATTTGAATCATAAATGTTCGAATCGGTTTGTCATTTATGTCTTTGACTGGGATTAGAAACCAGCCAGTTGGCTCATTTAAATCTATCACTTCAACTTCTTGTAAATCTGTGAAATTAGTACCAGCTCTAACAGATATTCTGTATAAAAAAAAAAACCTATTTTGCATTAAAAATTTATTTTAAGTTAAATTTTTAAAAACTATATTATAGCAAATTCTGCACAAAAGTAAATTAGGCAAGTAATTATCAATAATATAATGTTAATTATAACATATACCTTTTCCAATAATGAATAATATAATGAAAATACAAAATTAAAACCTATAGTATTCGAATAACAAAATTTATGTTTACAAATGTCACTTAAATTTAAGTTTCTCATAAAAAATTTATTTCTCACCTGCTAGGAGTGTAGCTTTCATCTAACTTGTAATCTATATATATACATATATCTTGAACAGTTGTTTTTTTCCTAAATTGAATATTTACAAGGTGTGGTAACTGCCCATCTGATTGCCAATATGTTTCCATACAGTTATCTCTAAGCTGATCTACTCCAAAACCTTAAATTATAAGTCGAAAATAAAAAAATTATAAAATATAAATATAAGATATTTAATAAATATTTAGAAAAATTGATAAAAATAACTTAGTTCTATATTTTAATGTTTTTTTCTTTGTGAATTTTTAAATAGAAAATTAATATCGAATAAGTGTAAATAAGAAAATTGCTGTTTTAATAGAGCTATATACTAACGATAAGTAACAATATCAGTTGTGGCAATTTTGGCTTCGTAATTTAATTTTATTAAATAAAATAAAACTTAAACGTTTATCGAATAAAATAATAATAATAATAAATTATTATACGATATAAAAATTTTTTGATGTAGTTAACTATAACATTCTAGTATCAAAGAGCATAATTAATAAAAATCATATAATAACCTATAAACATAACTATTGTAGATTAACCACATAATTCAAAAAAAAAAAAAAAATTTTTTGTACTTTTAAACTTTTCTAAATAGACTTTTAATGTCAAAAATATAGAATTTTAATAAAATTTTCAGGAAAATTATATATTTATTACAGTAATACTGTAATTTTTTACAATTTTGAATATCATAATAATCTTAATCAATTTAATCTTACAATATTTTTTAATAAATATAACAAATGAAATATAAAATTATTTTTTTAAAAAAAAATTACTTGGCTTGCAAGAGGACAGACTCCAAATAGCATGAGATCCAACTTCTCTAACTTTTCCCGCTCTTTCTTCAGTAAGTGGGTCAATATCACTCACAGTTCCACTAGGGCCACTCATTTTTACATCTAACAGTTATAAAAAACGATCTTTTAATATTGTTCATAATTAATAATCGCATAAAAAACAAAGGAAACTTTAAAAGGAAGACTACACATAAGTTTTGAAACTATTCGCCTTATTTTGTCGCGGAAAGTACATAATTGCTCTAATAGGTATTGTATTACGAAATTTAAACCAAACAGATCATAACGATAAACGTTTTTAAAAAAAAAAACATTCTATTACGTGAAATGAAGAAAAAGAATTTGTTCATAATAACAGTAAGTTTCTTTTTTATCAATCAAATTCGTTAAGTATCCATTTCAATCAAAAAATAATGAAAAGTTTTTAGAAACAAAAAATTAGCTATTATTTATTCAATGCACAAAATAGATTATAAACAAAAATATCTGTAATAAAATTTTACAAAAATACATTTTCATAAAGTTATATTTTATGAAATTTAAGTTTTCATAAATTGTATTTAGTTCATAATGAATATGGCCGCTAAAGAATGGCGTTGATGTACGTGACCAAAGTATTTGCTATAAAGTGCCTGGTGACATTGTTGAATAACCAAATTTTATAGTAAATAAGAAATTTTTCTTTTTTTTTGAATTGTAAACTAAATATTTTGTTTTATTGTAAAAATGGGTTAGTTTGTTTTATATTTTATATTTTTTTTAAAATTTATTTTGTGAGTTATTTGAATTGAAAGTATTTAGTCTAGTAAACGTAGGCGTTAAACGCTAATATCTCTCATTATATGAATGTATTCCATTCTATAATATTGTGCATATTTGAGTAAGGCATACATTTTATTTATTTTATTTTAAATTTTTTTTACTTCTCAATATTAAAAATTATTTACATAAAGACAAATATTTCCATTTCCGGCAGTGGCGATTCTTAGTCACAGATATGTCCTACTCAGATATTTCTTCCAATTACAGATAAAGACAGTTGATTTAACTATGTTTCCCTTGTAGTGTTTCTGTTGCTTATACTAATTACTGAAACTTGCAAAATGAAATATTTTACATTAATTGCATGAAAAAAAATCAATTTAATTTTAATTTTTATAATTTTTAATTCTACGAAAATTTAATTAGGGCAACCTAATAAATATTTTAGCAAAATTATAAGGACTAGCAAATGACTCTTAATGTATATGAGAGAAGAATATAATCTTCGTCGTACACGTTTTATTTCTTTAATTAATACTGTTCACTATTTGACTGAAATTTTTTACATAATATATAATTCAAAAATTAAAAAAATTGAAATTTATAACTTTTACATATTTTATTTTTTATAATTCAACTTAGAACTCACCCTTGTTGAACACATTTATCAATATGTATTTAATAATTATTAAATATAATTAAGAACCAATGTTGTATAATTTTTTTATAAATTTAATGTAAAAAAAATTATTCCAATTTTTTTTCTTATTTTGTTGCCATAAAAATATTTGTAACGAAAAATAAAATTTTACGATTTTATTCATTTTTAATGTTTATTTACGTTTTTTTTTTTTATACAGGTTAAAAATCTAATAATGAAATTCAGAAAAATGAGTGGTTTTTTTCTACATTAGACTCTTTTATTGAAATTTGATTCGTAAAATATATAGAGAAATTCGACGCACAATGTGAAATAAGCATCAGTAGAATAGAAATCGTATTTTTAAAAAAAAAATCAGATAAAATTTTAATCATTCAATTTAAATGTTCACAGAAATTTTATCCCATACCTGAGATACATATATATGTATTGATTTTTTAATTTTTTATTGATTTCAATTGTATTTTTAAGTTTAAACAAAATGATGATAGAAAATGTAAATTTTAATTCAGATGGAAATTCCGGAAAAGAAGTTATCAATGAAAATATTGTTTCACAATATTATAATCCTTGCCTTAAAAAGAAAAAACAAAATAAATTAACAAATATTAGAAAAAATAATAAATTAAGTAAAAAAAAAATCAATTCAACAAATTTAAATTGGAATGGTGAAGGTGAGGATGTAAGTTTAAATGCAGTAAATTTAAAAAACAATACAAATAATCCAAGAAGGGTTCATACAGATAGAAAAAAAAAATCAATTTGGGAAATAAAATTAGAAAATCTTAAATTAAAGTCCGGATATGAATTAAATAATATCCCAGAACGTTTTAATTATGTTGATTGTGATTTTACGTATCGCGATTCCAAAGAGACTAATATTTTACAATCGGAAAATTATAATGACAAATCAAAAATGTGTTCAAAATTAGAAAATAATTTTTCGACAAAGCGAATTATAAGTGCACCCGTTCGATGTTATAAAAAAAAAAAAACTAATTATATTACCGATAGTTCTGATCCTGGTGGAGCATTGAAACCTAAAAATCAAGATATGCCACTTTGTGTGATATCCAGCGTCGTTGGAAATGCAAATGAAACATTTGACAATTCTGCAGAAAAAGAAGACCTGGAAAAAGATAATAATAATACACCTGATCCTTCAGTAATTACTTTAAAAAAGACAAATGATATAACAAAAATAAAAGGATGGAGGAGAAAACAATTTTTTATTGAAAAACCAACAACTATTGAATTTTATAGTTGTGTTAAAAATTCACCAGAAAAAAGGAAAATTTTTTTTAATGATTCATTTGAAAAAGTACCGGAAAATACAAAAAATGCATTTGTTTGCGATAGTTTGGATGAATTTTTAGACAATGAAGCTGAATTAAAGTTAAATTATGAAGTACCTCATTTGTATGCCGAACTCGGTATTAAACTTACCAAAGAAGACGTTTTGTCAAAGCCAAATTTTTCAGAAGAGGAATTTAAAAAACTTGGTAATAAATATTGTGTTAAATTACCATATCCGGATAATTTTTTCAATAACGTTTTCGAAGATAAAAATAATGAAAAAGAACAAAAATCGGAAAATGTTGAATCTTATCAAATTTTGAAAATTGGCAAAAGCAAAAGAAGACTTTTGAAAATAGAACAAAAATATAATAGTGATATTAAAAAATTAAAACCGAAACCTGTGAGTGTTTTAAAACGTTCTTTCATAAATGAAAATAATTACGTGACATTAGGTAATAGTAGTGATCAATCATTTGACAAAATTAATAATTGCTCAAAGGATTTTTTTTTAACAACTAAATTATTAGGTGTTGTTTTTTATCCAAATTCTTTTAAACCAGTTCATCCCATTGTGGAAAGGCATTTAAATAAATTACGTAGTTTTTATACTACCATAGACAAAAATTGGGCTGATTTTGCCACGTCAGCTTTGGGGGGTAAGTGGCAAAATAGACAAATAAATAGGAAAATTTTACCCGTGTATTGTACGGGAAAAATTGGGAGTGACACATTTAAAAAAAACGATGATGTTGAAATAGAAATTAAAAATATAGTTAAGTTTTTAGTTGACTCAGTGTGTGAAAAAAACAAAAAAAATAGTTTAACAAATTTTTGCAACGTTTTAAATCAGAAAAAAATTGACAAAGAAAATTTTGAAAATCTCATGGAAAGTGATTTCTCAATTATGAACATTGATTCTAATTTTTTATTAAAAGATTGTAAAGTTTTTGTAAAAAAACTTAATTATGTTAAAAGATTCAAACCCTGGTGTATGGAACATAATTGTTACGATTGTACTTTATGCGGACTCGTTAATTCCAAGAATATTAATAACATGAATGGAAAAAATGGATTGTTACAAGTTAAAAATATACCGAGATTGTTGAATTCAGAATATGAATCTCCTCAGTCTCTTTTTAACGAAAGAATTACAAATTTATTGGCCAGTAAGCTCCGAAGTGTTGCTTATAATGATGATATCGTAGAAAGTATCGATAAACTCAAAGCACTCGTTCCAAATGATTTAGAATTAATTAAATTAAATTTTGTTAAACAAAGTTTTTTAACAGGATATATAAATATTTGGTTTTTACAACCGGAATCGAGTAAAGTTCGCTCGAGAGCATTTTTAACTTTTTCAAAAGCACCTCCGGTACCCAAGGCTATCAATATCAGACGACATCAAAATTTTTCAAATAATTTTCCCAAAGTCATTTCTGAAATCGTATCAACGGAAGATGTATTCGACGACGATGAGTTCGCCATACTTTATTGCAATGGAAATTCGTGGGAAATTCACGGAGCTCTCAATATCGGATTGGAAAAAAAAGACGATGTTGAGTTGCAGAAGAACGATCATGAGGTGGAACAAATATTTATTCCCGTACCTCCTGTCGAAATGGATGATATAAGAAAAATAGCGACGCAAATATTAAGAGTGACAACAACAAAATGGTGGATATTAGATCTCACTCAAAATTTTACCGAAATAGTTTTAAACATTTCCTGTCACAGCACGGTAATAACGAAGAAACATCTTTTGGCAATCATCAAATCAAAATTTTTAGGATTTTTAGCCATGAAAAAACAAAAAGGACGATTATATGGAGTTTACGTACTACACACGCTTTTCCCATTTATTTTAGTGGGACCCTATTACACTTTTGAAAAATGTACACTTTTCCTCAGATCAAACTCTCTTAAAATTCCTTTTGATTATGTCAGCCAGGAAAATTTACCACACGGAAGTTCTCTTAAATATGTAATAAATTCGGTCGTGTCGGAACTGGAAGGAAGTGATAAAAAATTAGAAGGGCTTTGGTTGTACGATAAAAAAAATTTAGACAATGCTTCGTATTTGGAAGCTATAACCACAACGAATCACGGTGTGTTTCCCAAAATGGATTACAGCCTGGAAACTGAACACGGATACGGTTTAAACAGTTTGACATATGGTGCTCTTCTGGGAACATCACCGCACGTCAATAAAAGGTTTATTTTTTTTTTTTTTTTACTCAATATATTACAAACGAAAAAAAAAAGAAAAAAAAAATTAAATTATTTTTTTTTATTTTTTGAATTGTAGCAAAGATGGTAAAATATCATTAGAAGTTCCTATTTATTTGTATTTTGAAGTTTTCGATTTAGGCTACCTGACTGGAGAATTAGAAAATGATAATTCAATCATGATAAGCCATCCTTTATCTCCTCTCACAAGAGTGAAATCTCGACGAATCGGGGATTTATTTATAAGGTACGATTTACGGTTATTTATTTATTTATTTTTTCATTTTTTCACAATGTTATATTTATCGTTGCAGAATGTTAAAAAAACGTATCAAGTTTCTGCCGGAAAATTATGAACCCAAATGGTTTATAACGAGACACAAAGAAGATTTAGGGGGTAGAAAACCCTTTGATAAATATTGTCTGAGTGGTGTCCATGTAAGTTTTTAATACATTTCAAATAAGTAAGAATTTATTGCTAGTTTTTTAATTACTATTATTGTTAAATTAGATTCTGTGTAAAAATGGTTTGTGTTCATTGTTAAAAATAAGTGGTATTAGAATCAAAGAATTGGGTTTGAACAAAGAAGAAGTTATTAAAGCCATTGCGGAAAATCCCATCATATCAGAAATATTCGAATTTAAAAAATTAAAAGGATTAATATTTAAAAACGTTAATAATTATTTACCGATGAACGCCGTTCTCAAAAAGGTAAGTAAATAAATCATTTCCAATTAAATAATTTTTACGATAAATTTATAATAATAATAATAATAATAATTATAAAAATGTTTAAAAAAAATTTTTAGGCGAAAAAAAAAATCGACGAACTGTGTAAGGCGAATGAAGATTTGGTGAATTTGAAAAACGAAAATGAAAAAAAAAATATTTCGCTGCGGGAAACGTATTCGAATTTGCTGTCGAGCGATCAAATATCCACAGACGTTAAAATAAATTCATTAAAAAATACTTTCGATAACGTTGATGAAAAATTTGAAAATATTTCTGAACTTGTCGAAAGTGAAAAATTTAATGTTGTGTTAGAAAAATTAGGATTTAATTCAATGTCACTTAAAAATATAAATTCTATCGAAACGATACCTGATGTGGAAAAAGAGGGGAATAAAAAAAATAAGAAGAAGAGTAACGGCATCGTCAAATCATCGACGGGAAACAACATGTTAAAAAAAAAGGAAAGAGGTCATAGGTTAAAAAGTACGTTAATTAATATTTAACCCTATTGGTTAAATATTATTTAAAATAAAAAAATAAAAAATTTTTTCTTTTTTTTCTAGATCGTACTTCAGGTACAAAAAAATCAAAATTAACAAATCATACAGTTTTGAAAAAATTAGAAGGGAAACTTTTAAAAATATCGAAAATTCTCGACGCGAGTGAAAATCCTTCGGAAATTCCAAAATACAAACAATTAATTATGAAGCTAAATAGAATTTCAAATCAAATAAATTTTATAAAAAATGTATTAAAAGGTGGAAATAAAACAATGCCAAAGAAATCAATTAAAAACGGACAATTTATTATAGAAAATATAAAAAAGGGTAAAAAAATTAAAATGAAACAATCACAAAAAGGAAAAAGTAAAAACAAGGATTTAAAAAAAAAAAGAAAGAAAAAGAAAGAATCATCATACGAAAACGGAGATGTTGGGATTAATAAAAAAAAAAAAGAAGAAAAGGAGGAAATAAGGGTTAAAAAAATGATAGAACCTAAACCTGTTTTTAATTATAATGAAGAAAATAACGAATCGGATAAAGATGAAATATCAGTTGTTAAAATTATTAAAAAAAATGAAGAGAAAGAGTGTAATAATAAAAAAAAATATAATAATAAAACTTTGGTCAATTCAATAGTGAAAAATTCATCATCATCATCATCATTATCATCGTCTGGTCCACCGGGTAAAAAATTTATTATTCTCAAAAGAGGAGAAAATAATATTTTAGGATCCCAAAAATTTAACATATTTAAAGCTATTCGTGTAATGGGAAAAGATTCAAATGAAAAGATGGAAAAAGGTTTAGATGTAAAAAGTGTAATTAATTAATTAATTAAAAAAAAAGTTTTTTTAGTTAAGAAATTTGTTTTTTTTTTTTTTTGTATTTATGCTTTAGCATAAATGAACCGCGTGTATATATACTTTTTTTTTTTTTTTTTTAAATTACAAAAAATGTGCCAAGAAAAAAAAAAATTAAAAATTAAAAACCTTTAAGACTGATTTACCCAAACGCATCATGTGGTTATACCTAAGGTAATCGATACCTACTACCTAACTAAATTTGTATCTTTTGATTAAATATTATAATTCAAATCGATTTCAATAGAAATGTATTCATACAAATTGATAAAAAAGAAAAAAAATGTTAGTGATAACGTTACCATTTATACAATAATAAATAAAATTTCAGAAGAATTCAAATTAACATAAAAACTTTTAATATTTTTTTGTGAAACCTTAAATCCTATTAAAATGTATTTACCTTAACCTAAAAATTATTAATAAAAAAAAAAAATTGTAATTAATTTAACGTAATTTAATTTAAAATACGTTACCAGTTAAATAAATTGCTCCATGTTACAAAAAAAATTGATAAATAAAATTACATACATTAGGAAAAATAAATTGTTAATAAATGTATATAATAAAATAATCAATTTTAATAAAAAGAAATGTTATAACTTATTAATGTGATAAATAATAAGTTGGTTTGTTTATTAATTTGAAAATTATAACCGATAAAAAAAATAAATGTAAATTTTTTTTAAAGTCGAATTTAAAATAATAAATTAAATTTTAATTTTTTTTTTTGTATATATTTGAAATAATAATTTTAAACTTAAAAATTTTTTTTTCTTTAAATAAATAAAAATAAATATATAATAATAATAATTAAAAAAAAAAAAAACTACTGATTGATTGAAAAATATTGGAAAAAATGATTGATTGATCATTATTACTTATTAAAATTGAACGACTTTGTAAAAAATTTTAAAATAATAATAATAATAAATAAATATTATATCGAGGGTCATTTAAAATAATTTTTAAAAAAATAATAACTGAACATAATAATTTGTACATCGTTTTTTTTTTAAACGCTACGTTACTGTACATATTTGAGCAAAATATTAATTATTTATTACGTAATTTTTATATATAAAAAAAATTTAAGGACTCCCATCGGATGAAACTTTAGCTGCTAAATCAGCAAATTTAGCCATGTAGTCAATACTCGTTTCCGTCATTAAACATTGAAGTTGGTTTTCCACCTAAAAAAAAAAATTTAAATTTCCTTTTTTTTTAAATCCGTAAATTAAATTATATAAAATATAAACAAATGGTTACCTCAGACGAATTGTCGTACGTTTGACAATTTGTATTTTTAACAGGCGTTTCTAAATAACCTAAAATGCTACTTAAAGAATAATCAGCAATTTCAGCATTTAACCAGTCTTCTTCCCTCAATATTACCGTAGGACTGGGACTGGGAGGAGGAAAATTAGAACCTTCGTAGCACCCGTTCAATTCTAAAAAAAAAAAAAAATTTTTTTAAACGTTAATTTCGTTCATTTCGAATATGTAAGGAGGGAAAATAAAAAATTTTCTAAATTAAATTACCCGTGAAATTATTTTCGGAATTTCCAACTGCTATCATCGGATCGTGATCCTCCAGTAGAGAACTTACACTCGGAGTTGGCGATAAGGAATGCTCAGGTGGATTGATAACCTTTTCAGAAGAGGGAACAGGAGGTTTTGGTGCGATGGGTTGTTCAGATCTTCGCCTTGAAATTTCATTAGAATCTACGGAACCCGATCCTGAAGTTACTAATGAAACTGGCATGAATTCTCCGGAAAATTGACTTGTTTGAGGAATTAACTAAACATTTACAAAATTGTTTTTTCTTAATAATTTCTGCGATACAAAAATTTTTCCAATGAATTTACAAATAAAAATTTACTTTTAACGTTACTATGGCGTGACCGTTATTTGCTTTAGGCAACAGAGGCAAAGTTCTTTGTACTACAACATTTTTAGCTGCGATTCCGCGACCTCGTCTATTACAATATCTCGGCGTTAATTTCTGTAAGAAATTTATATATATTCCGTGTAACAAAATGTATTAAAAATTTTAATTATTAATAATAATAATAATAATACTTACGTCTAACTGAGCTTTAAAGGCTTCCGGATCTAATCTGCTTTTATTCATGAGATGAACGTTGCCCGGCTTACGGAAAGTATCAGTCGAATTAGTTTTTTGATTATTATTAATTCCATTACTTTCTCTGGTATTTTCGTTGAAATTAATTTTCTAAATAAAATAATATAAAATTTAAATAACGTTTTAGTCAAAACAATTAATGTTATTTTTACTGATTGCCTAGAAGTCAATAGGAAAAATGATTTAGTCATTATACCTCCAACGGCGAATCAACAACTGGGCGTCTTCCTCGAGCTGTAACTTTTATGTCGTCGTTTCGCTGGTGTCCGCAAAGGCAGGAAGGTTTCGTTTTAACTCTGGTTAATTTTGTTAACCGGATTAATTTTGATAACATAGAACTCAATTTATTTAAATTACTTTCGACTATGCTCTCAGGGCTTTCATTTTTACGCTTCCACCAGTAATCTAGTTGTAGTTTGTAGTCACTACCAATCTAAAGGTAAAAGGTCAACAGACGAAAACATAAAATTATAGGCTCACAAAACAGGTCAGTTTTTATAAAATTCATCAAGTTATTATTTGTGTGTTTTATTTACCATTAAATATACATCTCCTAATGATAATGAATGACTATTTTCTAAATGCCATCCATTTCTAATTTTGGCAATAGCTTCATCTCTGTCTTGCAATTTCATTAGGCCTTCGATAAAATCCGGAATTTTATCTGTTTTTGTTGAGCAATCATTTTGTCTGACCTCATCGGTAATTTCATTATTAATAACTTCATTATTTTCTTCTGTTTCGTTGGAAAATGTTGTTTGACCACCAAAAGTAAAATTAAAATTTGGTTTTTCATCGTTTGATAAATCCGGAGATAGAATATCCATATCGGCAGATTTTATTTCTTTGTCTTCTGGTAAAAAAGAATTTTTCGTGTTCACTTTGGATTCTTCTGTTTTAATAACGTCGTCACCATCTAATTTTTTTGAATCTACGCTAATTTTTTCAATTGATTTTTTAATTTCCTTCTCTTCGGATTTCTGACATTTTCTACCCCTGCCTCTAGATTCAGCTTTAAGGGATTTTAAAATTGCTTCGCAAGTACCTTTTCTTCCGAGTCTTTCTTCATGAGAACTTAAGCAAATTCTAGGGGGAAAAAAAAGCAAAGTTTGAGTTAATACAGTTGTTTTCGACAATAATACATTTTATTCTATTAGCTTTCTTTTTACCCTTGAAAACAGAAAAAATTAAACATTAAGTAAACGTACCGACTGCTTGTTAAATATTGACTTAAGTTAACTTCAGATATGTAAACTTGTGCATTTGGCTTTGGCCCCACAACTAAAAGATCGTTT